GTCCGCCGCCCCACCAGCTGGCCCGGCCCCAGCCCGTCCAGGAAATCGCTGAACTGGCTCTCGGCACCCAGCCGGGTCGTGGGGAAGATGAACCTGCACCAGGGAGAGCAAAGGGCTTTCGTGGAGCATCGGGCTGGCGGGTCTCAAGCGAGATCCCGCCGGGAGCACGGGGACTGTGCTCGGCCTCAGCTCCCGTCCCCGTCCCCCCCGTGCCACCCCGCGGTGCCTTACGTGCCGTCGGAGCTGTTGCTGTTGGTGCTGCCGTCGGTGGACTCCCGGCTGCCTTGCCGGGTGACCCTGGTCCTCATCTCCACCGCGATGCCGGTCTCCGTGCTCCTCCGGATGTTGCTGCGCAGCTTTTTGGGGCCACCCTCTGGAAACCCAGACGGGGGTGAGCCCGGGAAGCACTTACTGCCCCCGGACCTTCCCACGGGACGGGCGTCAAAGCGGACGGACAAACCGGGATGCCGCGCACGGCCGGAGCCTGCCCGGGTGCCACTCCCCACCTTTGGCACATCACTCATTGTGGTTTAGGCAACCTTTCCCTGGGGATGAAACCCTGCAGGACCCCACACGGGCACGTGTCCCGGTGCCACGCACACCATGCTGGAGAGCCAGGGGCTGCCCTCCCCCCCCCGTGCCCCAGCCCAGTCTCGCCGCAGCCCTCGCTCAGCACCGATGCCGTCGTGCCTTCGCATGGCTGAGCGCCCCCCCCGCACCTCAGTCATCTCCCCCGCGCGCTGAGACCTGCCAGACTCAGCTCACGTGTGCTGACACCATCCCAGCCCACCGCCCGGCCTCCAAAATCCCCAGGGCACCATTGACATGTGCCGATGACTCCGTGCCACAGGGGACGTGTGCCCCGCGGGCCCCCCCAGTGCCGCAAGAGGGCACAGCCCCGACATGGACAGATCAGCGAAGTCTCCCTTTTGCCATATGGTTACACCGTCCCCGACGCCACGCATCCCAGGCGGTGGCAGATGGCAGAAGGAGGAGCGTGGCCTGAGCATCGCCCCCTGGCATCGCCGGCAGCCCTGGCATCGCCGGCAACCCCACTCCTGCTGCGTGAGCACGCCTGTGTCGGCACCGCACCACGGCTGCTCCTGGGGGAGTCAGGTTTGTCCTGCTAATTCGGGACTGCCCCCATGGAAGCGTTTGCCTGATCCTGGCAGCCCCCCCCCCGGCGCGGGCGCTGCTCCCCGTGGGCACCGGCAGCCGGGAGGGTCCCGGTCCTGCCGTCCCCAGGTGCGGTTGTGCCCGGCTCCCGCGCTTGTCACTTGGCTTCTGGGGATAATTATACCCCGTTCAGAAACACCTCGGATGTGCAGTGCTCCAAATTAACTCCTCTCTTTATAGAACATCTCCCGACTCACGAAATGCCAACAAGAACCAGAATAAAAAAGCAATAACCAGAGAAAAAGCCTACACTAAAGGGAGCTTTTTGCCCCCCCCCGCCCTTTAAAAAGCTATTTTAAGCATTTAAATATTTCCCAGAGCCAGAACGTTTGACAAGTCCTTTCTCCGAGCTCCCTCCCTGCCCGCAGCCGGGACCGGGGAGGGGGGATGCTGAGCCCAGAGCCACCCACGCTGC